CCACAGTAGTTAGAGCCTGATTCTCATCTCACTTAACCAGTGCAGATCAGAAATAACTGCAATGAAGTCAATAGTTACACCAGTGTAAAAGATCTATGCAAGAGTGATCAGAATCCAACCCTTATTGTTGTATTCCTATGGCAATATGCTGGGTTAGATTTTTACTGTCAGGTATTATTTTTAAAAAATCATAGTCCTTGATTTTCTAGCCATAATCCCGTATGGCTTTTGTGTCATGTCTGCACTATGGACTAATCAAAATGATTTTCCCTTTTCCTCTGCATTGCAGGGGCATCAGCGTACATTACTGAGATAAACTGTTTGTTTTCATTACGTTTCTCACATCAATAAGCCATTTGCTTTATCTGAGCAGCATAGATGATAAAACAGAAATCTGACAATATTAGCACTATACAGTAGGTAGGATGAACGTCTATTGTTTGCAGAACAAACATTTCCTTTATGAGTAACTGACAGAAAAGCCAGGGAATGGGCTTCCTAGAGTTACTTGCACGTATTGTGAATGGCACAAAAGTACTCTTTATGGATATTTTCTGTCAGTAAACATGCTGTAGTTACACTGAAGAGCTGTCAGATGTTAGAGATACACAGCCAATGTATAAATCATATTGTTAAAACAATTATTTTTTTAAAGTTTCAAACTTAGTTCTGTTTGCAAATCATTCTTATCTTTGAATACTAAAGCTATCTATTTGGTCATGCTCATTTCCCTGAAAATACATTATATTCCATTTGTGCCTGATGCTTCCCGGGAGGTCCCTGGTGTTGTGCATCTCTCTACCACCTGCCCTGTCTAAGCTTACCTGGGTCAGCTCCCCTGACACTGCCAACTTCTGGCAACACAAGCACTGCCTTCCAGGCCTCCACAGGCCATGCTCTCTGTACAGGTCAACAATAGGAACATTCCAACACCCAAGTTATCAAAGCATCTCCCTGGAGTGCCCTTCCCCTGATCCACTGGACACTCTCAGAATTCCCAGATCTTCTGTTCCCAAAGGAACAATACACCACTGCTTACCAGTTACACCATTCGCTTAACACACAACACTTAGATTTGTTTATTGAGAAAGCAAGTACAGTATAAGTTTCTGTAACAAAGAACAGGGATTCAATGGTAGCAACGAAGGGTTACATATAAAATGAAATCATAGCACACATACTAGAGCCTAAACTTAACTTCCAAGACAGTGTCATTTCATACAGAGCAAAAGCTCACCCAAAATCCATCCAGTACCTTAGAGCCAGGTGTGGTTGTGATCTTCCATTCCTCAGGCAAGCACGCTGTCTTCTTGACTCCTCAGTGGAAAGATCCAGAATTTGTCTGTGTCTCTTCAGTTATAGTCCAAAAATCCATTGTCTTCACTTGCAAACAGGATAATCCTTGCTGCTTCTGTTTTCCTAGAGACTTTGCAATCACTTGATAAGCATTTTGCTCAGACCATAAAATAGGCGTAACATATACAATAATCAATGTACATGTAGACAGATGGATAGATAAACATCTTCTGCCTGAAAAAAACCTGTTTCTCACCTTTTGATGACCAACCCCAAGTCACAGACCTTAAGAACATAATTATCAATGTATATATACATAACCCTTTTCATATTATCCACACATAAGATTCACAATTATTATGAGGCCCAGTGTGACGCAGGCTTTCAGTAGAGACCTATGTTACACTCACTGGCAAACTAGTGTGTAGATACCAGACCCATTGGAATCCCTGTAACCTTTATGCATCCCTGTGCCATTTGCCATTTGGCACCAAGAGGTCCCTGGGTCACAGTGCCTTTCCTGGTTTTGGTGCTTGAGTACAGAGATATAACCATGCTCCGGCAATGATCTAGAAAGACTATATGCACAGCTGTGTTCATTTTTTTTCTTCCCCTGATTTGTGGCCCCTGGGAACTACAGTGATTAGATCAATCTTCCATTTTATCTATCTATCACTTCTCTCTTGGCTCAAGTACAGTAGCTTGGATGTGATTTATTTTCCCTCACTACCAGTATTTCAACATCTGCCACTTCCCTCCAGGGCATAAGGTGAGTTTGGAATTTGGCCCTCGTCTTTATACACTTCAGACATGTTTACACTAGACAAAAAGCTTGAGGTAAGATACTTGGATCCCACTTTTTCCTTCATGTGAAGTTGCTCATAACTTTGTGAAGGTTGGACCCCACACCAAAGCTGAATCTGCTGAAACATTCAGAAGCGCCACCAGAAGCCAGATTGCTCTTCTGGAGAAGCAGAAATCTGTGAGAACATCTGCTGATGTCCTAATTCCTCCCTTTGTTTTAGCTGCAGGAGTTTCTAGGGCATTTGTGAGTATCAACCCAATCTCCACAGGAGGCCTTAAGATATGTGGGGGAGGAGGGCAGCCACAAGGGCTATGGCCCTGGCAGGTAGCAGCACAGTAAAGTACGTGAACATGCATAGATGTGGCACTGAGCACATCAACTCCTATATATTGAGGGCAACAAGCTATTTTTTTTCTGTTTAAAATGGCACAACAGGTATTTATAAACCATATTTTTGTCTGTAAACTGTAGCCCCCGTCACCCCAGCAGTTTGTATCAGTGACATTATTACATTGAGAAATGTAGTACAATATCACTGAAACAACCTGAGGTGACTTATCATCCAGGAACATTAACAGATGTGGGCTTTTTTCTGAACATAAGAAAAAGTAAAAGACAAAAGAATAATTCTATGAGCATATGATTTGCCAAACACACTACTATCTGTGCTCCAAAGGCAACCATAGTAGGTGCCAGAATTCTGGCTGGCAGAAGGCCCATCCAGAGCTTCCCTGAACCCCCTTATGAGCACAAATAAACCACTCAGATGGGTTGTATTTAGGGGTCATTCCCAGGTCAGGGTTATAGTTCTGTATCTATACAGATTAATGCCTCACCCCATGCCTTGCTCCAGAAGGAAGGTAGGAATATGATGGGCTGAGCTTTTCATTTAAAGAGAAAAAGTGGAATCCTTTTATTTACTTTGATTTTTCCACTACACCTGTCCCAGGCCCAAGGATATAACACAATTTATAGAAAACTTTTTTGATAAAATATTAAAGCAGGTCTTGATGTAAGCCCTGCACTCTCAGATCATGGAAGTAAAACCACAGACCTCTTACAATATCCTCCACGTTTTCTGGTACAAAGCACCTGTAGAGCAATCTCTCTCCAGGTTTGGCGGGAAAGCTGGGATTGCAGTGGAAAGATTTTGCCAGCACTCCTTTTACAATGTAGGAAGTTTCTGGTATGAGCCTATGCACAATGCTCTGCCAGAATTCAACCCAAACGCTTTGTATTAAGATCTTTGGATAACATTTCTAAGCCTGGCCACTGATAGAAAGAAGTTGGGTCATGGAATCAGTACAGTACTTGTTTCTTCCCCTAGAAATCATAATTAACAGGTCCAGTAATAAATCTGCCCAGCTGGCCAGGTGATAGTTTGTGTTGGGGTGCTGTAAAATAATTTTGAGCTGTCAAGCTCCTTCCTAATTTTAAAATAAATTACTGAAATTCCATGACTGTGGAGGGGAAGTGTTTTTTTTATTTGCTGTCATTAAAAGGGAATGCCTCCTTCCACAATGAAAACCCAAAGGTTACTCTCACTGGTGTGTACTAACACAGTTACATTACAAAGACGGCATGTGAACTACAGGATTATTTTTATTGTTATAACATACCCACTAACCTCATTAAGAAATACATGCTTCTGCATTATTTATTTCCTACTAATTTCCTCGCTTCCCCTCTTTCTCTTTTTGTGCTTTAGCAGATATGCTGGCCTTTGTTTCATACCACTAGTGGTACATTGATTAATGACAGCAGTGATTTTCATATGGAAATATGCAAGAAACCTCCCTGAGTTCATAACCTGCACTGTTTTTCTCACCAGTGCAACATACCTGTAATTCCATGCCGATGAGCAAGTTGATACTTCCCTTTATCAATGTAAATAATTTTATAAACAAGGAATTTGGATGTGTTTGTCATTCTAGGTATTTAAAATAGCAAGTGTTTGTGATTTCTTTTAAATGAAGCCATTAATTACCTGCTGCTGAGAGGTGCTGTTCTTCCTCAACTCCCACTGACTTCAAGGAGGGCTGGGGGTGCTCAGCACCCAGCAGAATCAGAGTAGAGTTTTCATGCTTAGATTCAGGGGATACCACTAAAACTGATATGGGAACATTTTTTTTTAAAGTGATTGTTAGCTCAGTAGTACTTTGGCCACCTGCACTCATGATGGCTAGTAGCTAAACCTCTTCTTGATTCAGATTCATGGGGAAAATATAATGCTAGGAACCATGAGGCCTCATTCAGGAAAAGCCTGTAAAGAAAAACATATGGTTTGTCCCTTACAGACCATACAGAGTTATTTAAAGCTTTGTGCTGCAGTGTAGTCGCTAATCTAGGACACGGTTGTCACGGCTGTTACTTAGATGTGCAGGGGAGTGAGAGGGGATAAGACCCTCCTTACTCCCTACACACCTGTGCTCAGATTGTGACTGACCATGGTGGGAGAGAGCAGGGGCTACTTACCTGTTATTCCGCTCTGCAAACAAATGCGCAGAGAGGGTACAGGGAATGAAAGGAACCCTGATTCTCAACCCCACCTACTCCCTGAATCCACCATGATGTTAGTCTTGCCATGGCGGATTTTTGTTTGATAAATTGCAGCATAATATAGGGCCATGTTAACAGTCCTTAGCTTCATAAAAACAAGATTTGCAGCTTTCCAGTTTATTTGTTTTTCTCAAACCACATGAAGCTTTGCTCCAAGAAGTATGCTGATGGAAATAATCCCTGATTAATTAGTCATCCCTAATTAATCTCTCTATAGTTGTTGGATCACAGCTGGAAAGCCCTGAGTGATCGGGAAAAATACTATTAAAAATAAACTGATTTTATTGTAATAAATTTCTATTAAATGAAGAATAATTTAATATGCTCTCATCTGTTAAAGGGTGAACCAGGTTTCATTGGTCCACAGGGAGAACCTGGATTACCAGGGTTACCAGGAACAAAGGTAAGTTTAGCTTCTCGCACACACTCATCCATATTATATTGGGTTTCTTCGTGTTAATGACCAAAAACAAAGTTAAAGTGAAGATCAGGCCTATAATCAGTCATTTAAGGATGAAAATCCTTATAAGAATGTGGTACTTATACAAAACTACCAAGAAGTTTAAAGTTTAGGTTAAAACTTTAAACTGTGCCCAAAATTTGGAAATATTAAAATTCATTGTTTTGGTATCCAGGTTACTTTAAATTTGCCCTGCAGTGTGCCCTGAGAAAATCAGAAAGTCAGACTACTTAACCATTCATAGCCATCTCAAGCTCCTTAGCTGCCTTAGTCAACGTAGCCTCTCTAAAGCTACCAAAAGCCTAAATTAGGCCATGAGAGCCAACATGCCAGTATGGACAATCTATCTTAATAACTTTTAAGAAATGGACTCCAAGCAATGAAACTTTGATCCTGTGCACTAGATCTTGAATATATAAATCCATTAAACATTGTGCTTTCTCTCTCCTTCTGTCTGTTCTTTTGCAACTGAGTGGGAAATAAAGTGCCAAAGAATTTTTGAAGTCTTGTGGACTCACCTATTGAGAGTCAAATTTTGTGAACCTATTGTCCCATTCACTTCAGATTTGGAAGGAAAAAACGGAACTCCAGACCAATTCTGAAGCCAACTTTCCATTTTAAAAATGTATTTTAAGGTAATGCTGGAGAATGCAAAACAAGCTTTGAATGGAAAGTTTCAACCTTAATTATGGAGTGGTGCTGTTTCTGTCCTTTTCTACGAGAGGCCATGATTTATTCCTAGGCTTCTAGAGTCCCTAATTGCTTCATTAGCCATCCCCACCCCTTAAATGCAGACTCCAACTCAGTATTCTACACCTGTATTACTTCTAGATGTGACTACTACAATGAACTTTACCTTGGGCGAAGTGTGAAAAGCACTCCACAGCTCTCACTTGTGCAGAATACAGCTGCTCACCTAACTAGGGTGAGCCAGCAAAAGTGGCTTGTTTGCTTCACTGGTTGCCAATAGGCTCCTAAAAGGCCACCTCTTCCTTTCTTACCCATCACATGACCTACACTCATTTAGAACACCGGAACTAACTCACCCGAGGGTTCTGAGAATGGAAGTTAGAGGCAGCACTAATTGCTCCCTTCTGTCTATGCCTTGTTCTGGTCTTTTGTTACATACTATTTCTCAGATAATACAGTCTTGTTCAACAGAAAATGACTCAGATTAAGGTACAGAAAACATCCACTTCTGCTTTCAGGAATGCTGTAAATTTAGCTAGGAAAAATATTCTCCATCCCATTATACCTCTCAGATGGGCTTGAAAGTACATCCTGTTTAGTTTTTCTGAACTGACTTTGTACTATACTAAAGGTTGCCAGTGGTTTGTGATGCGTACAACATGTGTGTTGAAATCTTTGACAGGGTGAAAGAGGAGAAGCAGGGCCTCCTGGAAAGGGTGAACGAGGTGAACCTGGAGTTCCTGGGCCAAAGGTCAGTCTGGTTGAACACTGGCAATGTTTTGTTAGTTTTATAGATATAAATATTCAATAACTGCTTCAAGTAACCAGAACAAAACTTTGCAAGTGAGCTTTAAAGGAGAACACGGTAAATTCATCCCTGTACACTGCTACTACTCAGGCAGCTAGCCTCTGCCACCATGGCTACACTGCTATTTTTAGTGTGATAGATCATCACAGCTAGTGTGTGGACATCTGCCCGAGCTGGAAATACCTCCAGCAGCAGTGTAGACAGAGCTATAGTTTAGTCCAGAAGCCAGAGGTAGCATAGTGTTCACAACTGCAGAATTAGGCCATAAGTGGAATCCATTATTTGGACTGAAGGAGACAGAGCCTCAGATGGTGTAAATTGTGATGGAGCGATGGCAACTGACAAAAGGTGAAGCTCTGCCCTGATGTGTCTATAAGCACCCTAGTTTGAGCTGTCTGAACACTGTGACCTTTCAAGTTCAGAGAAAATCCATTCTGCTTCTTGTTTTCTAAGAAAAAATAAAGAATAACCCTAACTACATTTTAATATCTTCCGAGCATTTTCTACTGCATTGGTGATTGAGTGTTCTACTCTTGGCATATCTTGAAATGGTAGTCTGGCTTCTTTGTCAGGTAGATCTATACTGATAGATTTATTCATCTATACTTCCTGGGAAAACTATTGTGGTAACACTTTATTTTAGCAGTACTATCCTGTAAACACTATTCAGTTCTCAGTTCTTGGAGGGCCTAACGGTACAGTGGACACCCCCTGCAAGCCACAATTATTTGTGTCAGTCGTGTGCAAGAATCGATAAGAGAATACTTGGTGGAATTCCTGTGGAAGAAGGGAACCAATAGCGTTTGCACATCAATACTAAAAAATTCATTATTCTGGGTGCTATTAAACTCCATACTAGATGGATTCATGAGGTTGTTCATAGAAAATAAAGTGTTTCCACTGCTCTCTACTACTACTAGAACTAATCTCTTTTCCTCTCCTCTTTCCTTTTTGTCTCTCATTTTTCTTCTGTCCATCTTCTATGTCTTCCTCACACAGGGGAAATCAGGCGAATCTGGAACTAGAGGCCCAAAGGGGTCAAAGGTCAGTGTCAAATGAATTGCCTTTTTTGGTGTAACATGAAGATTTCCAGGGCAAATTATTAGTACTATCGACTTTGATTTAGAAAGAAATGATAACTAATCCTGCAGCCTTCATACAAGCAAAACTCCCATGGGTTTCATTGGGCTTTTTAACTGTAAGGTCTGTGGAATCAAGCACTAAATATTTTGTACGCCATGATTGTGCTCTTTCTTTCTCTGTTGTAACATCTTAAAATGATTAGTCTCTTTTTTGTCTGTTCCCTTTTTCCATGTACCTACTTTATCTCTCTCTGTTTGATGGTTGTGTTTTAATCCATTTTCTTTGGGATGGAAGGAAAGAGCTGTTAAACTTGGTACTTTCCACATTTTGCTGATCCAATAACCATTGAAAAGTATTTGATTTAAATATAATTTCTTATTGTTATTCTGCTGATCTTTTGTGAGGGGGTTTATTTTGAATTTTGGGCAATGAGATCTACCAGGCTTGGGTCTCTCAGATTCGTCTTCTAGATAGTTGAAAAACTACCATGGACCTTGGCAAAAAGTTAAAGCTTCAATACCAGAGTGTACACAAAAGCAGTAAAAATTTTCAATGGATTTGCAATATTTTTTGCAAAACCTTATGCTTACTAGTGTCTGCCAGTTTATACTATGGGGTCCACACAAAATAAAACTGGAATATTTATTCTTTTGTTTAATTAAATCATTTTGAGAGAACAAAGCTCTGCTGAGAATCATTTCTATATTGCTCTCAACGTTGACCATGAATTGGCAGTATATCTCCATTTGGCAAAACACATAAGCACACAATTAAAGTTAAGTAAGTACTTCAGTCCCATTGACTTCACAAAGCATATGCTCATAGTGAATAATAAAATGTTAAAAGTGGTTCACAGAACCAAGGTGGTGTAAACAACAATTAAATACTCCTGATTTCTTTTCTTCCTTGTGCTGAGGAACTTGGTCTCCACTGGAATGTTATTCACAGAATAATGTGGTTTCTTAGGTCTTGTCTACACTATAGAGTTAGGTCAACATAACTAAGGAAGTGTCTACACTTAAATTTTGCTCCCGCTGATGTAACTCACCTGCTACACCGACTTAATAATACCACCTCCATGAGCAGTGTAGAGTCAAGGTCAATGTAGTCACAAGGTCAGTGTGAGTGTAGAACACATTGCTTCTGTTGACTGTTACTGGCTTTCAGGAGCAATCCCACAATCAATACAAGCACTCCTGTTGAGAACGTGCACCACTGACAAAGGAAGCAAAGTGTAGACACGTGCAGGAAATGTAATTACTGTGGCAGCTGTATGCCGACGTAAGTTAGGTCATCCTAACTTTGTAGTGTAGACCTGGTCTTAGTGCCTGATCCTACACCAAGTCAATGGAATCTTCACCATTAAATTCAGTGTGTGCAGGATTAAGTCTTAGTAGGACTTTTCACTCATAGGCTGTCAGCATTTACTTTCACAAAAGGGAGCCTTGGGAAGGGCAGGAGGTTGATAAAGGTGTTAGCCTGTCGAGAGAGATAAAAAGCACTGTCTATTTCTGAGACCTCCATCATTGTAGTATCAGATCATCTCCCAGATATTCTGGTGTGTATCCACACAACATCGCAATGAGGTAGAGAACTATTATTTTTATTTTACAGAAAGGCCACAGAGCCACAGACGACCGGATTTTCAAAGGTATTGAGGCACCTAAAGATGCAGATAGGTGCACAATGGGATTTTCAAAAGTGCCTGAGCAGATTAGTCACCTAATTCCCAATGGGATTTAGGCACCTGAGCACTTTTGAAAATCTGTCTAGGGACCTATCTGCTTTTTTAGGCATCTAAATACCTTTGGAAATCTGGCCCAGAGAGGCTAAGTGACTGCCCAGAGTTACACAGGAACTGTGTGGCAGAACTGGGAAATGAACTCAGATTTTTAAGCAATACGCTCATGCCGTAGCCACAGGTCCACCAGTCCTCTCCTGCTGCAGAGAAGACAGATGGAAGCAATGTTAATATCTCCTCCCATTGTGCACCTCTTTTTTCTCATATGCACCTTTCTCTTATCATCAGTGAATTAATAATCCTTGTCCATACCAGTATCACAGAAGCAAGTATAGATCCAAACAGGAGTAGGAGTAGCAGTATTTAATTAAATTTGGTGACACTACTGCCAAACAAAAAAGCTTGCTGTGAAAGTGGCCATGAATGTGAAATAAGTCCCAGGCACTAGATTTCAGGTTACGAAGACAAGGGCCACTCACAGAGTTTGCCCTTATGGATAAAGTTTTCTCCATCCCTCTGAGCTTATTAGTGACAGCCAGGAGGAAAAAGATGAGAGTGAGATGATAAAGATCTTTATTCCATCTGGGATACTAGGGCAAAGAAATCATTAAATGCTGACAACGATGATGTGGTGGTAAGAGAGGCAGTGACTGAGGAAAGAAGTTCTGCAACACCAGTGGGAGTAATGAGAGAGAAATGCGTGTGCAGTTTGAAAAATCCCTTTCGAAGAGGTTGTGTGACAATTGCAGAGGGTATGTCTACACAGCAGTTAAACACCCATGGCTGGTCCGTGTCAGCTGATTCAGGCTCACAGGGCTTGGGCTGTGGGGCTATAAAATTGCAGTGTAGAAATTTGGACTCTGGGACCACGTGAGGGGGGGAGGGTCCCAAAGTTCAGGCTACAGCCTGAGCCCAAAGATTTACACCATAATTTTACAGCCCCGCAGCCCAAGCCCCATGAGCCTGAGTCAGTGACACAGACCAGCCACAAGTGTTTAATTGCTGGGTAGACATACCCTAAGGCCTTGGCTACACTTACCCAGTAGTTCGGCGGCGAGCGATCGAACTTCTGGGTTCGACTTATCGCGTCTAGTCTGGACGCAATAAGTCGAACCCGGAAGTGCTCGCCGTCGACTGCGGTACTCCAGCTCGGCGAGAGGAGTACCGCGGAGTCGACGGGGGAGCCTGCCTGCCGAGTGTGGACCAAGGTAAGTTCGAACTAAGGTACTTCGAACTCGAACTTCAGCTACGTTATTCACGTAGCTGAAGTTGCGTACCTTAGTTCGAATTAGGGGGGTAGTGTAGACCTGGCCTGAGTGACTTACCCCTTGAGCTTTCTTGTGAAGCTTCTGATAGTGGAGTATCCATGCCATCAAGAATAGCGAAGTTGTTTAAATGACCCAATTTTCAGTCTGCCTTTTATTTAATCCTTTGTTATTTCTTAAGCTACCCCGGTAATGTATTATATAGTAAATGCTACACACAAAGAGCCAAACTCTGTTCTCAGTTGCAACAGTCTCAATCCTCACACTCCATTGACTTCAGTGGAATTATCCCTATGTAACTAAAACCCATATTCTATTTGCTTTTAAACCAATGTCAAGTTTTTTTATTTTGTTTTTAAAAATAAAGTATATGCTCGACTTGGAGGGTAATAAAAATATTGAAACTATTGAACAAATTGTTTATCTTTTTTTGCTTACAAATATTACTTTTCCATAGGGTGATACTGGAGACAAAGGTGATTCAGGAGCAATAGGTCCTAGGGTAAGTGTACTTTATTTTAACCTGTCCAATGGAAATCTCAATTGTTACTTTTAGGCCAAGTCAACAACTACAGTTGAAAGCGAGTTAGCACGAGCCAGGGTTAAACATAAGTGTTGCTAACATAGTTGTGTCATGAAGAGGGTTTCTAACTGCAGTTCAGTGTCAACAGGGAAAGCTATGTTATAAATCATACTCTAGATGCCTAGAAGATTAGTAATATCTTTTGCTGGACCAACTTCTGTTGGTGAGAGAGACACGCTTTTGAGTTTTGTGTGAGCTCACCCACCTTGTCTCTCTAGTATCCTGGAATCGACACAGCCACAACAACACTGCATAGAAGATTAGTCATCCTTCAATGCTGTGTGACTAATATTTGCCCTGCTATAGCAGTCACTTGATTTTCAGGTGAAGTTTTAAGTGTTGGTATGGATCTATCCTATAAAATCCTAAATTGTCAGGATCCCACCCATCTGGAAGATCCCCTTCCCCCAGGCTTTCTCTAAGGAAGGGAGAGAGTAGATTGGGAAGATGACTGAGAAGATAGGGGGATTCTGGATTGGAAGATGTTGTTTGAGGTTTGCAAAATTTCATAAGCAGGGTCTGGTTTTTTACTTGAATGATCCAAAAGAGTAGGCCTGACACAGCATCTTCTTTCAGTGGTTTATCTAAATGGTTTATGTATCAGTGTTACCTGTTGGAGCACGATTCACTGTGTTATGATTTATTCATTCATATTTATCTTTTTTTAAATGTTTGTTCCTCTTAAAACAACCTTTGGTTTTAGGCTAACTTTTGCAGACTGTGATTTATTGAAAATGCTATAAAGTGATAAAATATACTGTACCGAGATCTAGAAAAAAGTTCAGGGAACAAATGTGAATGAATAAATAGAGCAAGTGTCAGAAAACAACCCATCTCTACACTAGGTCATGGAAACCATACAGAAAATATGCTTGCGATAATTATGTTTAAACGGTATTGTTGCTAGCAAAGTCTCAGCTGCAGTGTGAAAGAGGCTTGGGTCAATATTTCTTTTCATAGATAGAATGCATTTCATGCCTCTGAAAACCTCTTTAATTAAAATATAAAAATATGAGAAAGAAACTAATGAATTATGGGGCCCAAATGGAGACACAAGATTCCGATCTAAACTTTGCTTCTGGTTCTCATCTCTATCATGGGCCAATCAAAATCTGGATCTTAACAACCCTGAACTTTTCAGCTCAGGGAGATCTTTCAAACAAATGCTGACTATAGAATAAAACAGTCTCAGACAGACTAAGAGAGACTAGGATAGAACAATCAGTCACTAAGAGTTGTGTGCTTCATTCAAATAATATAGTGTTTGGGGGAATATGTTACAGGGCCCGCCTGGACAAAAGGGAGATCAAGGTGCAACAGAGATAATTGACTACAATGGCAATATCCATGAAGCTCTGCAGGTATGTGAGCATAAAGAAGCTCAAATGAATCAATACAGGAAGAACAGCTCTTTGGCATAATTATATTTTTCTTTTGCATAGGACATGAAATTACTCCACCATAGTATCTTAAAGATTTGCTAGAAATATTAATTAGGAATCTCCTGTGCTTGAAAGCTAGATTTTCTTTTTGGTGTTAGACAAACTTGATACAATGGTGAGGGAATTAGGTGTATATATCCCCTGGACTGTATTGACATCATCAGATGAGGACAGAACTGATTTATTGCTGGCTCCACAGCTGTTAGTGCTAAATCCATCTAATAAACCACTTACACAGATCCCACAGAAGTGTCTGCTTTTCAGTTCAAGTAGAATAATATTGACCGTCTTTCTTTGTCTTTGTCCTTTTCTTTTTCTTCTCCTCCTCCTCTTACTCTTTCCACAAAATGTAAAGAGCAGAAACTTTTGAGGTTTGGAAACCAACTCACTTGACTCCATTAGCAAGCTGTGGATTCAATCAGCATCTTGAATTAGGATCCTTAGCAGTAAATATATTAAATAGACTAGCATTGGCGGCCTTATTTACTCAGCCCTAGAAAAATAAATATTTTACAAAAAGGGTGAGTGAATGTTCACATGAAAGCCAAGTGTAACAGGGTGACTTGCAAGCTATGAGAACAGTATTTGGTGGTCTTGCTAACTAACTACCAATTCAGTCCTATGAGATGGCAAGCACTCACCTGCAATTTTCATTGTGCCAAATTCTTGGAGGTTCTGGGACTTGCAACTCCTATTGAAGTTAATAGGAATTTTCAGTATTCAGTGGGTGCTCAGTACCTCTCAGAATGTAAGTAGAAGTTGACAGAGTTCACAGGATCCGGTGCCTCTGTCTGAATGTTTATACAATTTGGGAAGACATCATAAAGCAGCCAGGAGGACTAAGACCAATTTACAGTTGCTCGAGTTCATGCCTCCTATTCCATTTCATGTGTCACTGGAGAATCACACATCTTAGTCCATCAACACAGAAACAGTGATATAGAAATTATCACCACAGTTCAAGCAAGAACCCTGCAGTTTATATATTTTTGACTTAGAGAACCAGATACAAAATACATAAGTGAATCTCTCTTTGGGTCTGCTCCGACTCCTCACAGAGGCAAAAGTGAATAGCTGAAGTGGAAATTTTACCTTTGGAGGAACTGCAGGTGCTTTATGTATTAAAATTTTAAATATATAGTTAGAAATGAACACTGAATATTAAATTAAATATATAGCTAGAAATGAATGTGAAAACTGTACATTACTGCATTTGGTATAATTAATTTAGTTATTTGTCCTGTAAATTAGCAGAATTGAATTTTTCTTCTATTTTAAAACTCTTTAAATACTTCCATATATAGGGTGACTGCAAATGCACCACCATATAAAATGCCATCTGTTAGAGATTTCAGTTCCAAAGTTAGCTTGTATTGATATGATTCTAGTTTTATAAAATAATGTTCTTTATTGTGCAATTCTCTATAAAACAGTGTATGATTATATGCCTATTAAACTGAATAAGACTAAATCTTATATTTAGATAGATGTATTAGATGTATAAGCATCTTTGTTGGCACATAGTAAAAATATTTTCATGACTAAATACTGCCTGCCTTATTTGTGCAAGTGGTTACATTGCTGTCAATGAAAAAGCCTGTGTGAGTAAGCTAAGCACAATTCAACCCTGACTATGTTTAAACAATACAACCAGGGCCGGCTCCAGGCACCAGATGAGAAAGCACGTGCCTGGGGCGGCACATTGTAAGGGCGGCACATTCCCGCCGCCCTGCCGTGATTCTTTTTTTTGTGTGTGCTTTTTTGGGGCTCCGCCAGTCCCAGCCAAGCCTTGCAGGGGCATGGACCCTGGCCCGGGGGGCAGGAACTAGCAATCCCCGCCGCTCACCGTGCCGCCGGACTCCCCGGACGTGCCACTCCCTGACGCCTGCACCGGCCTCCGCTCCCGCGCCGTTCTGAGCCCGGCCCGGCAGAGCAGCCTTTAAAGGAGCGGCTGAGCCAGCACCTCCTGCAGCCCCCAGGGACTCCGCCTGCCTGACCGGGAGAGGCACCCCAAGGCTGGAACGGGGAGCCCCTCTTACCTGGCTGCGAGTGGGCTGCAGCGCCTGGCTGCCCACGGGCGGAGCAGGCGGGCGCCACCCTTCACCCCTCTGTGAGCCGCCTTGGCCGCCCTCCACGCGCTCCCTGCGGCTGCCATTTTGTTTGTTTGTTTTTGGGGTTTTTTTGCTTCGGCAGTCCGGCCGCCCTTTTTTTTTTTTGCTTTGGGTGGCAAATAAGCTAGAGCCGGCCCTGAATACAACCAAGTAATTTTGTATTGCCTTTTGAGAATTTTCACTACTTTTTATTTGCTCTATCTTCTTTGAAACACAAAAAATTACCTAACTATTTTGCCTTTTTCCATTATGAAAATACTGATCTGCCCCTCCTCCAAATGTTTTAAATGGAGCTGAAGTTAACATGGCTGATATTGTGGATCAGCAACTTGGTTTGTGTACTGTTATTACTACTAGCATCACAGCTCTGGGAATTGTATTTGTTAATGACACAGAACCAGCAGAGACCTCAAAATATTGGCAAAATATCAGCTCTTAGAACAGGAGAGGTGTGGAAGATTCATATATAGATGCATATAGGAGCCAAAAGTTTCCCCCCATCAAATTCTATGTTGTTAAGGTACATCTTATTTGGCCCTGAAAATTTTATAGCCAGAGCCTTTAGTCTTCACTTATATAAAACTCCCATGTAAGTTAATGGGGGTAAACCACTGATACCAGTGCAGGATTGGGCCTTGATGACTGTGTACTTTTAACTTCAGCTCTCTTAGATACAGATCTCCCAGACGCAGCACAGATTCTGTGAAGTTCATTATTAAACAAGTGAAATATTTTATTTCAGTATTCACATCTGATAATGTTGTCTTTTGTTAATATATTTTGCCAACAGAGGATTACCACCCTAACTGTCACGGTAATTCCTACTGCATGACTTATTGTGATTTGTAGCTATTTTATTCTGTGTAGTTGCATGTTCATAATTCTGCCGATTTAGGATGTATCTTCATTCATCTGATGTTGACCCTGTTCATCATCATGTATGTCTGTTCGCTAATTTTTTTCTTACGATGAACATATTGTTGAAAACTAGGGCCCGATTCTTTTCCTATCGAATAATGACAAAACTCCATTGATATAAGTAGGACACAGATTAGATACGTAAGGTTCTTAGTGCTGTCACTATGCACTACCTGCCAGAAGGCCAGATCCTTCATTTGCTCTGTTCTCAAATCTCTCATTAATTTAAAAGGGTGTTCTGAGTTTGCAAGAAGTGCAGGATTGGGCACCAGGTCACTTTCTGTTGTCAGCCTTATTTTTCAGGGTAGACAGTTCAGTTATTTTAAATCATATTGGGTGAAAACTTTACATAGGAGTTCACGTTCTCCCCCCCCCACCCAAGAAGTAGCCTATTTCAGTTTATAAGCAGGAATATATGAGAGGGATTTAGTGTGGGGATTTCTCCTTCTCTTTCTTATCAAACACTGTTAAAAGAACTTGTTATATGAAATTCTGAAATTTTTCCAGTACCTACAGCTCACATCCTGCAGTGCTGAGTATTTTCTGTGCCCTGCACTCTCACTGACTCCCACTGGAGGTTTATACACATTGGGCCAGAGTTTGATGTCACTGGAAAGTTAGGGGACTCAGCGTGTCCTAGGACGCATTTAGAATTTTGCAGAATTAGGCTCCAAAGGAGCTGCAGATTTGATCAAATTAATTTATTCCCTTTTTTGTTTAATTGTTTATCTCGAACGTTTTCATTAGGTCTGCTTTTGCCATCTTTGTAAATGTTGTTTATAACAGTGATGGAATTTGTTTGTTTTTAATGCATCCCCCCATTGTGCAACGTTCAGAACAGTAAGCAATCTTATAGGCTGTTTCTGCTATAGTTGCTAGACAAAAGGGGATGAGTTAGTGATTCATGACCTCATCCCACAAAGCACTGAACATGCTCAAAGACTCTCAGCAACTTTCGGGAGATGGTCAGTACCTTCTAGCAATAGGCACTAAGGGCCTGATCCCAGGTCCATTGCAGTCAGTTGGAGTTTGCCCATTGACTTCAGGAGGCTCTGATGCCAGCTTTACATTTTTCGTACTTTGGGATTCAGTCTTGTTCCCACTGAAATCAATGGAAGCTTTGCCATTGCCATCAATGGGGGGAGCAGCAGCCCCTTCATCAGTTCAAAACTATAACCTTGCAATGTTATTTTAACACAGAATTTTGTGACTCCATATTGTCTGTTGAGAATTGTCATAAATTAACAACCTGTTTGTAGCTGGTGTTGGTTCTTCCCTGTGTTAATATAAAGTTTTCTTAGAAAGACTGGTTGTGTTATTAACAATGGTGAAGTTCACACTTATGTATATCCGGTATGTTCTGCAAGAACTTAGATAGTTCAAAGCTAACAGATTTATCTGTTTCTGTGTCTAGGGTCCACCAGGGCCACCCGGACCTCAAGGAGCACAAGGCCCAAAGGTGATCTTTCTTAGTTGACACATCTTCTTTTAAAAGTCTAGGAATTCGCTAGCAGAGCTGGGTGAAATTTTTTACCTGAAACTTTTTTCTGGTGAAAAATGTAGATTGGATGACACCGAAACATTTTGCAAATTCATGTTGATTTTACCAAATTGTTTTGGTCAGAAAAGAAACTAAACAAAATTCTATAAAAAATTAAATGTTTCATTGAGATTTTCTAAATGAAATGCTTCAATTTTTTAATTCAAATTACTTTTCCTCTCAAAATTTCATTTAATCTTTTAAATGGAAAAAAATGCTCAAAAATGAAACAAAATGTTTTATTTAACCCAAAATGACTTTTTCCAATTTTTCAAAATTGCCAGTGAACCAAAAAATGTTATATGTACAGTCCTATGTTCTGTATTTTATTTGCTTACATATGTGGTTCATTTATATATACAATATACTGTATAGAAGAGCATCTACACTTGAAATATTACATGATGGGACTTATGTCATGATATGCATCTTAATTAGTATAAAATGTTTATTTCAATATATGTACAGTTTTGGTTGGGTGTTGTGCATGAATGCCCAAAAGAAAATAACCCATGCTCAGCCGATGTGGTGCAGTGCTGGTGTTCCCTCCCAAATCTGCATTGAGGTTGCTCAGTAGGCTTTCTGCTGTGGAGGAGGGTCCCAATGTATGGCCTAGTGGTCAGGGAGGGTGATCCACATATTTTTTGAAGTAGCTACTTCACCAGACAATGGCTCCCATGCCCATAGCAACATCCAGATTGTTCACACTCTTGGCTGGCACTGGGGGCTGTTCATGGAAGTGCTTGCCAAAATATAGGGACAGATTAATGCAGCTTTTATACAGGGCCGCCCAGAGGGGGGGCAAGTGGGGCAATTTGCCCCGGGCCCCGCAGGGGCCCCGCGAGCCCTGGCCCGGCGGCGGTCCGGATCTTCGGCAGCGGGGGGCCCTTCAGTGCTGCCGAAGATGCAGAGCGACTGAAGGGCCCCCCGCCGCTGAAATGCCGTCAAAGACCCAGACCGCCGCCGGGTGAGTACAAGCGCCGCACCTCCCCCACTTTGCCCCAGACCCCCTGAATCCTCTGGGCAGCCCTGCTTTTATATCATATATATGCACCAGAAAGAGAAAAACACTGCATCCTACAGCACGCTATACTGCTGCTCCAAAAAGGAACAGCATATTCTACTCCCCTGACTTGCCACCAAGATCAATATGTGCACAGGGCGCCAGGAGACTGGCTGCCACCCCAAGCCAACTGGTGCCATCTCTTTGGTGCTGTGGAGCACCATCAAGCCATCACCATATATGGCATTCAAGACAATTAAGACCATATTCTGCCTTGTATTTGCAGGGATATGCAAGGGTGGAGGAAGTTCCCTCTTCCACTCCAGTAAACCCACACAAAATGGAACAGAGTCCAGCTGTCTGTTTGTCTACACATATTTTTCATATAAAAGATGTCTTATTAGATAACATTTATTAATTGCAATTCAAAATCTGGTTAAGTTCTAATATATATATAATAGTCTCTTTATTTTCTGTATAATGATGCACACATTTAAGTGTAGCATATAGGAGCTGTATGCTATGCATTTTCCAAATGGGGCTCTGTTTATACGATCATAAACATACATAATAAATCATGAATTGCTTACACTTACAAAGAGGTTTTTTTAAAAGCAGGATATGTTGAGTGAACAATGGATCCTCCCTAAGCTGATGCAGGATAACTAACTGATTAATTAAGAGATAATTATCATAGTTCTTAAGAACTTATCATATAATGTATCCTCCAAGAAATCCTGTTTGCGTAGCAGCAAACTCTCTCTTAGTGATTATGAGTTCTCGTGAAGAGCAAGTACTCTCTTGTGCAGCCCACATTGGAAACAATGCCATTTGTTTTAAATTTATGATGCATCACATCCCATGATATCATGAGAAAATGCATCATTTTTGGTTTATCAAAAATTGTTCTAGAATTTAAAGGTTTTTCACCAAATGCCAGTATAGATGTGAGTGAGTCAGTGTAAGCATTTGTGAGAAAATACTGTCTTTTTTTCTGTTTTTCACAAACTGGTGAGGGACAGTATATGTGAAGGCATAGAAAGACATTTCAGTAGGATCTGTGTAGCCTACAGAGGCTCTGCAGCTCCCAGTCAGGGGTAGGTTTCTGAAACTCTGGGGTTACAGATGCAGAAGGTCGTCCCCTTGTCGAAGAGGATACTTTCCTCCTCAGAAATAGCCAAGGTAAAGCAGAATTCAGCCTTACAGAGGTTGGAACCAAAGGCCCCACCCCTACTCCCCTATATGTCATCTCCTCTCTTGGGAATGACATTCAGGAATCAGGGCATCCTTCCACGTTCTAGTGGAGCAGGGAGGCTCTTCCCTGGTTGACTGACATAATCAAATTAGCCAGGCAAGAAAATGTAAAGGTCTGAGTGGTCCATATTTATTCACCCAGGCTGTCAGCAACATTGCTGAGCATCCTAAACCACTGACCATAGGCTTAATCTTATGTTCATTGATGTCAATGACAAACTCCCATTTGACTTTAATGGTGCAGAGTGGATGTTTTTTGGGAGGATGGTGGCATTTTTCTCCTGTGTAAGTCAGCCAATGTGCAGTCAATTTATACCCCTTTCTGGGCCTTACGCAATCTAGATGGCAGTGTATCTGCCCTACTGACAGGACCCATTGTTCTGCATACGTAGATACTGTAGCAGATAAACTTCCACAACATGTTTAACAAGATGACATGTCTCTCTCCTATTCTCTGCAGTGTAATATGCGTCTACGTCATTCACTGTGATGTTGTGCACAGCTAAGGTGTGGGGTTGAAGGTGTTACTGACCAACATAATTTACTTAGCACAACATAATCTCACCAATAATTGGTGTAATAAGGGAAGATAACACAATTCCACCTTATGTTTTACAGGGTGAACCAGGATCCCAAGGAACTCCAGGAGCTGAAGGGGAGCAGGTACACCATGAGTACATCACCAAGGGCCAGACTCTATGAACAATTATGGCTTTTTTTAGAAATAATGTCATTGTACGTTATGGAAGGGGTGGGCTTAGAATTCATAATCACATGACATGGCCATACGTGACACATTATGTGATCACATACTATGCAGTGATGTGATAATAAATTTATATCTATCAGAGGCAAAAAGTCATTCTGTTTTATCAGTTTATCCTTGAACAAATCTCGGATTTTATTGATGTGTGAGCATTGTACAAGTCACTTTCATGACAAAGATATGATTTTTCAGGGTCCTAAAGGCTCAAAGGGGGATGTGGGTGAGTCTGGCATGCCAGGAGAAAAGGGAGGAATTGGACTCCCAGGCTTACCAGTAAGTATGCAAAATAAATTTAATTTAGCTGAAAGCTAATTTGGGTTTTTAAATGATATATTTCACATTTGATCATGCTTAAGTGTTTGCAAGTTTCAGAAGTAGCAGAAAACATGAAATGAAAGTATTAGTTGTTCCATTTCTAATCTAGGAGGAGACATGAATGATAGACCAAAAGGTTGTTTGCCAGAACTTTTCATTCTATTTATGGACAAATAAAATCTCACTTTGGAAAGATGTAGATTAACTGGTATGCTGAACAAATTTATTTGTCCACTGTAAGAGTCAGCAATCACAGCAATGCTTTGACAAAAATAAATGTGGTAACATTCAGGAGAAATTAGCTGCTTGATTACACAAGAAAGAGAGATATCTTGATACCTGGAATCTCAGTGGCTGACTCATATTTTTGAAGGAGAGAAATTTCATAAACACTTATGAAAAGTCTATTTTTTGTATTTATAGAAGGATTTTATATCTATATAATATCAATATAATATATGCTATGTATATTTGTGTGTGTGTTGTGTGTGTGTATATATATATATATATATACATATTGATATTAGGGCTGTCAAGTGATTAAAAAAATTAATCGCGATTAATTGCACAGTTAATCATACTGTTAAACAATAATAGAATAATGCTGCCTTCTTCTTGTTTACAATGTCACCTGAAAGTCAGAACAGGGGTTGCCATGGCACTGTTGTAGCTGGTGTCGCAAGATATTTATGTGCCAGATGCACCAAAGATTCATGTGTCCCTTCATCCTTCAACCACCATTCCAAGGGATATGCGTCCATGCTGATGACTGGTTCTGCTCAGTAACAATCCAAAGCAGTGTGAACCGACGCATGTTTATTTTCATTATCTGAGTCAGATGCCACCAGCAAAAGGTTGATTTTCTTTTTTGGTGGTTAGGGTTTTGTACTTTCCGCATTGGAGTGTTGCTCTTTTAAGACTTCTGAAAGCATGCTCCAAACCCTGTACTGATCAGATTATGGAAGGAACTTCAGATTCTTAAACCTTGGGTCAGTTAGAAATCTCACATTGGTACCTTCTTTGCGTTTTGCAAAATCTACAGTGAAAGTGTTCTTAAAATGAACATGTGCTCGGTCATCATCTGAGACTGCTATAACATAAAATATATGGCAGAATGTGGGTAAAACAGAGCTAGGGACATACAGTTCTCCCCCAAGGAGTTCAGTGACAAATTTAATTAATGCATTATTTTTTTAATGAGCGTCATCAGCATGGAAGCATGTCCTCTGGAATGCTGGCCGAAGCATGAAGGGCCACACGATTGTTTAGCATATCTAGCATGTAAATACCTTGCAATACCAGCTACAAAAGTGCCATGCAAATGCCTGTTCTCACTTTCTGGTGACATTTTAAATAAGAAGAGAGCAGTATTATCTACTGTAAATGTAAACAAACTTGTTTGTCTTAGCGATTGGCTGAACAAGAAGTAGGACTGAGTGGACCTGTAGGCTCTGAAGTTTTACATTGTTTTGTTTTTGAGTGCAGTTATGTAACAAAAAAAATCTACATTTGTAAGTTTTGCTTTCACGACAAAGAGATTGCACTACAGTACTTATATGAGGTGAATTGAAAAATGCTATTTCTTTTCTGATTTTTACAGTGCAAATATTTGTAATAAAAATAATATATACTTTGATTTCAGTTACAACGCAGAATACAATATATATGAAAATGTAGAAAAACATCTAAAGTATTTAATAAATTTTGATTGGTATTCTTTTTTTTAACAGTGCAATTAAAACTGCGATTAATCGCAATTCATTTTTTTAATCACGATTAATTTTTTTGAGTTAATCGCGTTAGTTAACTGCAATTAATCAACAGCCCTAATAGAGACATGTATACATAGTGTGAGTGTGTATATACACACACACAGCATTATTCTATTATTGTTTAACAGTATAATTAACTGTGCAATTAATCGCGATTAATTTTTTTAATCACTTGACAGCCCTAATATCACACAGCCCTAATATATACACACACACACTCACATGCACAATGTATAATGAAATCAGTATGATTACAATAGAAAGAGCTTTTAATAAACTCCTTGCTGTCTGCTCTATCTATATTTTTAACCATGCATGTTAAAATTAATATTTGTAATTGTTTGATAGTCTAGTGCTTAGTGGCTATTATCATGGGTTTTTGCAATAAGCATACATTTATAATTCATGGTGTCAAGTATGAAAGTCATGACAGTTAGAGATATAATTCCATTATAAGCAAAACTTTTATTATGAAAAGCATAAATATTTAATTACAAAAATGTTCTTTTCTCTAAAGTGAATTCAGTTGTTAATAAGACAGAAATTGTTTAATAACTTTTTATAATGATTTTGTAGGGAGCCAATGGTATGAAAGGAGAAAAAGGAGATGGTGGTTTGCCTGGTCCTCAAGGTCCTTCTGTAAGTCTTGCCATGCTGTTGTGATGTGCTCATTATTGTAGCAGTGATTCTCCACCTTTTCATTCTGAGGGACACTTCATATGAGAGAAAGAGGAACCTTCATGGATGAACCCTTCTACCAACTCCCGCCGTTTCCTAATTTTGGGTTTTTTAAATGTTTCACTCTGTGATCAACCAGGGTGGGCAGGGGAAACCACTGATGGACAATAATTTGAGAATCACCGGTCTATACAGACTTCTGGAAAGCAGGTCACTAGTTTACTAACTTAGTTTGTATATGTTTTACTATGTTTTAAAAGCTATATAAGAATCCATACCTCCTACATAAGTCATTGACAAAACTCCCATTGGCTTCCCTGAGAATAGGAACCATCCCTTCTTGTGTTGAATCATAGAGCGGTAAGACAGAGAGATGAGATTGATGGGAATTTCCTGTCTCAGCAATCTGTTTATCTGTCAGCCTTGTACAGTGAGTATCTCAGAGGGACAGATGAGAAGCAGATCTCCAAAGGGCTATAATGATGGTAGGCCCCAATCCAAAGCCTACTACAGTCAAATGAAGGACTCCCTTCATTGGTTGAGCATTATATCCGGTCCTTAACGACTTCAGACCTGATCTTGGAAATATTTATGTATGGGTGCATCTTTACTGGCGTGAATAGTCCCATGGAAATGTTCAGGATTACTCACATGAGTAAGTGTTTGCATTATCAGACATGTATGTGACTCTTCAAAACATTTTGCAAACATAAATAAAAACCTCACGCAAGGCTCTTGTGATATAGGTAAGTACCATTAGCTCAATATTATAGATCAGGGGTTGGCAACCTTTCAGAAGTGGTGTGCTGAGTCTTCATTTATTCACTCTAATTTAAGGTTTTGTGTGCCAGTAATACATTTAACATTTTTAGAAGGTCTCTTTCTATAAGTCTATAATATATAACTAAACTATTGTTGTATGTAAAGTAAATAAGGTTTTTTAAATGTTTAAGAAGCTTCATTTAAAATTACATTAAAATGCAGAGTCTCCCAGACCAATGGCCAGGACCCGGGCAGTGTGAGTGCCACTGAAAATCAACTCGCGTGCTGCCTTCAGCACGTGTGCCATAGGTTGCCTACCCCTGTTATAGATCATGGAACTGAAGCAAAGAGGTTAAGCATCTTGCCGAAGACGACAGGCACTCAATGTTAGAGCTAGGATAAGAATTCAAGAGTTGCTGGCTCCCTGTCCTGGCATTTCAAGATCCCACTTCTCACTACAGAGCACAAATGTCTCAATCTAGCTCTGAAGGGAAAATCAGTTCATTACTTTCCAACATTATGTGTGTGTGAAACTCAAAGATCTCGGCACATACTTGCTGAATTTCCTAGCAGAGTTTTTGTAAAAGGCTTATCCCCTAGAGAAAACAGGCATGGTAATCGTCCTCATTTTCTTCTCCCATTGGAGGCATCACCACTCCTCTCCACTCCCAGAAGATTCCCAACATCCATTATCAACCCTTCTCGCTTCATCCTATTTTGCATTTTAAAACCTGCTTTGTTGACACCACACTTAACCTCAGAGGATTGGCTAGAAAAGTCATTAGTGCTGTATGTTAATCTCTAGAACGGGCTATGCTGCTCAGCAGCCCTGCTGGTAGCTCAGTACTGCTATCATAACTCCCAATTCAGAGCTATTTTGCATTGAGCCCAGTGTGAGAAGTGGTGTTAAGCATTATAAATACCAGAACAAAATTCTTCCTTCTGGATTTGGTGGGATCAGTAAAGTAAACCAGCATATAATGAGCACATGCTGAAAGCTGAATAACCTGATTACCTGTTGTAATGACTTCATCATTGGGATTAAGCCTGAATATTTGTGCACGTAGTGCTTGTTGGGCTAAATCAAATAAAAAGGGAGGAAGAGGGCAATCTAGACATATCCCAAGACTTAAGGTAAATTGTTTAGTTTTATTTCCATTGATCAGGATTGGAAAGGAACCAGGGAATGGCATCACAGCATCCCTCGCTATTCCTGTAGAATATAGATTGCAAGTACAGCAGGGAATACGTACCAGAAAATAAGAGCCAACAGCATCCCTACTCAGACAGGATTTGAAGAAATTCACTACTAGCTAATGTTTTAAAGTTATCTAATGGTTTGAGTGGAGGACTGGGAGTCAGGAGACCCTGTATTCTGTTTGTAGCTCTGCATTTGACGTGAAGTATGACCTTGGGCATGTAATTTTTTTCTCTGTGTGCCTCAGATACCCCGTCCATTAAGTGAGAATAATAGCCAAGTTTGAGAAGCACTCCAAGTACCAAGATAAAGATGCCATCTATATGTGCAAGTTATGTTGTTACTTTTTAAAGTGCTCTCCAGCAACTGCAGCACTCTGCAGTATTCTTCATCTGAATGGTGACAAATGATATTAGCAGAGAGCTGGGGAGAAAGAGTCTGACTTCCTGTATTTACAAGGGAGATTCCTTTCACTACATGAGCTAATAACATCATTTTCTATATGTAGATCATAGGACCCCCAGGACCACCAGGGCCGCATGGGTCACCAGGCCCTATGGTAAGTCTTTCTTTCCCACTCCCAATTGTAATGCTTGCTTAATAAAAGTGCTATGAGAGAACATGACTACTAGAGATGGGCCCAAGCCATGGATTTTGGATCTGTATTTGATCCTAACCCAAAGTTCTTGGGAAGTGGGGAAATTAATTGTGGGTATAAATGTGTTTCCCTGTTTTGTTCCCCCAATGAGGTACTTAGAGGTGCAACTACTTATATTGGCACTCACAATTTATTTTGTGAAAACAAAACTGCCGGTGCAACTTGTATCTAGAAAAGGCAACAAGCCTTTATTTTCTTCATTAAAGATGGAAACTTTATTTTCAGGGACCCCATGGACTGCCTGGCCCAAAGGTAAATGAATAATTGCCTGGATTCTTTAAATCTGTAATGTGTCATGCTCTGTTCTTTGTTAACCATAGTGAAGCATGCATCTATGTTGTGTCCTTTGTCTCATTTATTTGTTAAATATTTCTGATACTCTTAAGCCTTTAGGCAGATACTTAAAGTAAAAGTTAAAGGATATTTTTGAATTGTATTGATTTATGATCATTGCTTGTGTGTATTTCACATGAGCATAAATTGGACTAGATTTTTATAATGATGATTGTGAACTGGTATTAAAATTACCCAGCCTCCTGTTTGCTGGTGAGAGTTTCATGCTATTCTAATTAGTGCTTTGCAATTGCCTTAAATTACACTTTAGAACACAGAGGATGAGTGTGTTGTACATGGAGGAGGTGAAATCAAATAAACTCGTTTCCAGATATGCCTCTTTTCCTCTTGCTCCGCTCTCTCTCTCCCATCTCCTATGCCTTCCAACACAAGTTCACCTCACTTCCCACAATCCCCACCAGGAGTCCCACCCCAGCTTCAGTATATATCTTAGTGCTGCTGGAAACACTCCCTTATCCCTAGCATAGCATGTGTGCATGACACACACCCCAGAAGCCCTGCAAAAGTCTTAGACGACAGCCAGTTTCCTGAAAACATGGATGATTTTGGAAAGGTTAAAAGAAACCAGGGTTTAATTTGTATTTTAATTAAATTAACACATTAATTTAAAAATTCAGTATCACACTCAAGCATGATGAATCCTGTAACAACCATTTTAATCATTACATTTCTCTTTTCATATTCAGCTTTCTAAAAAAGGATTATTTTGTTTTTTAGGTATGGGGGATGAGACAGAAATATCCCTTTTTAAAGGTTTGAGCCACAGCTATACTATGTCAAACTTTACCTGGCATTGGAGGCTTGGGTTAGGAATGATCTTCTGAAATCAGTTCTATTTAGGGCTGTCAGGCAATTAAAAAATTAATCGTGATTAATCATGCGATTAATCGCACTGTTAAACAATAATAGAATACCATTTATTTAAATATTTTGGATGTTTTCTACATTTTCAAATATTTTTATTTCAATTATAACACAGAATACAAAGTGTACAGTACTCACTTCCTATTTATTTTTTATTACAAATATTTGCACTGTGAAAAAACAAAAGAAATAGTATTTTGCAATTCATCTAATACAAGTACTGTAGTGCAATCTCCTTATCATGAAAGTTGAACTTACAAAAGTAGAATTATGTACAAAAAACTGCATTCAAAACAATGTAAAATTTTATTGCTTTCAAGTCCACTCAGTCCTACTTCTTGTTCAGCCAATCGCTCAGACAAATAAGTTTGTTTACATTTGCAGGAGATAATGCTGCTCACTTTTTGTTTACAATGTCACCTGAAAGTGAGAACAGGTGTTCTTGTGGCACTGTTGTAGCCGGCGTCACAAGATATTTATGTACCAGATGTGCTAAAGATTCATATGTCTCTTCATCCTTAAACCACCATTCCAAGGGACATGAATCCATGCTGATGTTGGGTTCTGCTCAATAACAATCCAAAGCAGTGCAGACCAACGCATGGTCATTTTCATTATCTGAGTTGGATGCTACCAGCAGAAGGTTAATTTTCTTTTTTGGTGGTTTGGGTTCTGTAGTTTCCACATGGGAGTGTTGCTCTTTTAAGACTTCTGAAAGCATGCTCCACACCTCATCCCTTTCAGATTTTGGAAGGCACTTCAGATTCTTAAACCTAGGGTTGAGTGCTATAGTTATCTTTAGAAATCTCACATTAGTACCTTCTTTGCATTTTGTCAAATCCGCAGTGAAAGTGGCCTTAAAACGAACAACATTCTGGGTCATCATCTGAGACTGCTATAACATGAAATATATGGCAGAATGTGAGTAAAACAGAGCAGGGAAAATGCAATTCTCCCCCAAGGAGTTCAGTCACAAATTTAATTAACACATTATTTTTTTAACGAGCGTCATCAGCATGGAAGCATGTCCTCTGGAATGGTGGCCGAAGCATTGTAGGATTGAGTGGTCTTGTAGGCTCTGAAGTTTTACATTGTTTTGTTTTCAAGTGCAATTATGTAACAAAAAAAATCTACTTTTGTAAATTTCACTTTTATGACAAAGCGATTGCACTACAGTACTTGTATGAGATGGGTTGAGAAATACAATTTCTTTTATCATTTTTACCGTGCTTATATTTATAATAAAACATAATATACACTTTGATTTCAATTACAACACAGAATACAATATATATGAAAATGTAGAAGAATATCCAAAATATTTAATAATTTTTAATTGGTATTCTATTGTTTAACAGTGCAATTAAAACTGTGATTAATTGCGATTAATTTTTTTAATTGCAATTAATTTTTTTAAGTTAATCACGTGAGTTAACTGTGATTAATTGACAGCCCTAGTTCTATTCCATATTAGCATCAGACCTGTCTTACCTCAGACTTTTGACCTGAGAGTCAGGTTTTTGTGGGATTTCTGCTTCCAAAATGTCAGGAAAGGGGCATTGCCCAGATATGTCTACTCAAGCTGGAAATTACAATTTCCAGCTCTGTAGCAGACATATCCATTGACTCAAATGGAGGAAGAATAGAGAAATGGCACCTGTTTTTAGGCAGGGTACAAAGGAGACGTCACTGAAAGCAGAAGCATAGATTAAATTCTTTTACGGTTTGTTTGGGGTTTTGTGTGGCAAAGAGAAACCTTGGGAAGAGGGCAGAGGGAACAGTCTTCAGCATAGAGAAAATCCTATGCATTTCCATTTCTCACTGGAAGCAGGTATTGTTAGCACCCTGAGTTGTCTATAGAGCCACCATGCTGTGGTAGTTTTACATGGTGTGAAGATGTCTTCACACGCACTTAGGTCCACCATTATTCACTTCACAATTTTTAATACAGCGATGTCTATGTCACATCAGAATCACAATCTTTCCACAATATCTTTTGTTTTACTATAAATACCTTTTTTGTGAGATCAGTGAAGGATGGGCCCCAAAAATGCATTGTCCCAGTACAACACACTGTTCCTCTTAATTTCCCATTTAACTATGTGTGCTTAAAGGTTTAAAGTATCTTTACATAAGACTGTGTTGCAAATTCCAGTTTGTCATTAGAAGAGAATATACTTCCACACAAATTGCACTTTTCTGCAGATTTCACTGCAGTTATCACTAATCTGAACAAAATGCAGTCTCTAATATTCTTGTCTAAGGTTTTTCTTTAGTTTGAATTATCAGCCTACAACAGAAACGTGTGGGCATACAGGATACTCAAAAGAGGAAGGAAAATTACAATTGACCCCACATCAGACAAATACTTCAATAATTATTTAGAAGTGATTCAAGAAAGTCTTACACAGCAGAGTTTATTGTATTATTTCAACACACAATTGTATTTAAAATGACCAATCATTGTCTATTGTATATTTTAGGACAGGTCAATACAATATCTCCAAGTAAATTGCCAATAATCTGTGAATGCTGAATTAGTACCTTACGCTGAAAAGATCTTACTGTTGTTTTGAACTGGAATTTGCAGCTACATCTAAGACTGGCTCTCTTCTGTCCCAGCTTAAATACCCATTGTAGCACCAAAAAATTGGCATTTATACTTTTACATTTAGGGTGAACCAGGGTTAAATGGTCTTAAAGGATTGAAGGGTGAACCAGGTCAAAAGGGTGACAGAGGGCCCCTTGGTCTTCCAGTAAGTAAAAAAAACTATTCCATTTCAGTGCAAATCACAGACTTTTCTCTCTTCTTTCAACCAACAACTCTGGTTTACTCAACAGCATTTATAAACCTCTATCATGTTGGAGCAGAACATCAGTCTTGTTTTGTTGTACCCAGAGTCTGTACCATTGTCCAAAGTCACATCCTGTAACACACAGTGCTGTCAGTTTCTTTTTGTCACGTGTCAGTGGACAGTGTTAATAGCCTCACGAGGATGCTGTCAGCCCCATTACATTAATCATGTTGTGATTTCAATGTTGTGTGGTGTTTGTTTTAAAAACGTGGTTTTATCAAACACGTTGTGTTTTAATTTCGATGTATCCTCAGTGATATTTCATTGAAGAATTGCTACTAAAGTGGGAGGTTTGCCTGAGTCAGGACTGAGTAAAATTTGAGTGAAGACCTTGGGAATTGGCTTCTAGAATGTTAAAACATTCCCCCATTCAGCCAGGGATGCTGGATATCTATATATATAGATATTTTAACTTTTGCCTTGTACTGTTCAGAACAGTTTTCATTATAGGTACTTGGCATAGATTGATCTTAAAAGGACACAATTGACTTAAAAATCACATTTCCATTTGAAAATTTTGTCCCAAGAGACACCAGAGCTGAAAGTGATTAGAAGAAAAACAATATATTTTAGTGTGTTTCCTTTGTGCATTTGACAGCACTTTGTGAAAAGTCAATTTAATTGTTTTCCACTTTATAGTCAATTTGTTTCCCCTGTTGTTGTGTGGGTCTTGCAATGATCAGAAAAAATCTGGTCAAAAGTTTTTAAAGATTTGCAGAGAGACTCTGAGGAGTGTCACCTTTACCAAAAAGATTTTAGTTTCTCTCAGTGAAACTAACCATTTTCAAGTTGACAAGGTCCTTTGACAATCCAGCAAATAGTGTCCAGTGCAAAATCTTATGTTATTCACATAAAATCCACCAGGGGTCAGCCAGTCCCCAAGGATGTTAAACCGAATAGCCCAACCTGCAATGCATTATATGCACTTCCAGCCTGGAATTAGATTCATTGTTCATGAACATGCACTACAATTGTAATTTGCTGGTAAAAACAGGAAACATTGTCTCCTGGGCTCTTGAAAATGAATCAAACCATTGTAATGGGGGCCAAGATTTTGTTGGTCATGTAACACAATTTTCTTCAGCTTAAACACTTCTTATCGATGTTAAAATATATATTTTAATTTCATTGCAAAGTAGAGTAGTCAGTATTGTCAGTATTTTATTCACATTAGACAACTTGCTAGTTAATTTATAAATTATTTGTATATTAAAGCACAAGAAACACCATAATGTCTGATGTTTGTAATACTAATATATCTAGGGCCTCATTCTAATCTCAGGTATGCTGGTGTAAATCAGAAGTAATTCCATCAGGTCTGTGGTGTTACATCAACGTAAAACCAGTGTAACTGAGATCAGAATCCGGCTCTTAATGTTGTATGTAATTTTTTAACTAACATATTGTAATAATGTGATCCTCATTCCAGAACCCCGTAACAGCTTATATTCTGTGTTTAAGTTATGTTTATTCATCAACACCACTTACTAATCTCACATTCTTGTCATTCATGTTATATCCATCATCCATGCTTCCACCTAATCATACAGGGAGCATCTGGCTTAGACGGAAAGCCAGGACCCCGGGTGAGTCCCTTGCATTCCTGTGTCATGCTTTGCTACTGAGTCTATGTGTTTCACAGTGGTCCTATTTGCCTAGTTTATACATGTGTCTTACATGGAATGAGGCAGAATTTATCAGGCAACTTACATGATGCTGAATCTGAAGAAAGTCTTGGTATATGTTAGCAGTGGGGGACAGGTAGTGCCGTGCTCTGTAGATGGGGCTCTGAATCTTAAAAAATTCATTATGGGGTGAAATTTTGGTTGGAGCTGGCCTTGTTTATATAGCTGTACAGGAAAATCTGTTAAAATGGGACATGGCTCAGTGTATCTAAGTATATTCATCTTCTTTCTGAGCTTTATGTCCATCTTGGATTTACATTGGCCTTGGAAATTGTAGCTCTGTCACTGAGACTAGCTTTCAAGTCCCATGTAAGGAGAACTGCCATTTGAATGAAGCATGCTGCATATCTTCCTTTTCCTGTCTTTTATTTGTACTGTTCCCTCTGACTTCAGCAATGGAAACCATGCAATGCTTGGAACATCAATTCTGAGCTTAGAAAGCAACAATAACAAAAAAGTCAAAAAAGTAATGGTTTCACTAGTGCTTGTTCTACTTGGTAAGATTAGGCTTCCCTATATAATCTGAAGCCCTGATGAGTTTTGTACTAGCTTCATGAGACCAGGTAATACAGAGTCTGTGAGAGTGGTGCAAAACTGCTACAAGTCGATCTTGAGCCTTCTGACATTTACCCCAAATGTTAACTGCTGTGGCATTTATAATGATGAAGGAGGAAGGGGAAAAGTGAAGGAACAACATAGCTGTGTATTTAAAGGCCTTCTTAAGCCTGTCATTCATCATTATGGCCTCTTATATTTAATCAACACAATTCTTAGTATACACTTCCTTGTTTAACCCTTTAACTCCTTGTGACAGAAATTCACTCTACATTTTCAAACCTCTATAAATCTGTTGACTTAAAGCAATAAATTACAAACCAATTAGATGAAAGGTGAGCTACATACATCACAGCTAATAGTTTATAGATGGGATTTTCAAACCACCTAGTGAATTTGGATGCCCAATTCACAGCATAATTAAGATTTGACAATCTCAGCCTATATTTTTAGCCAGTGGGAGCTGAACTGATCCTAAGGCAGTTCCTGACTAGAATAAACCTGCAGTTAAGAACTGCTAACAGATTTCAGGGCATTTGTTTTTCACTACTTGTTTGTTTAATTTTTTAGGGTATGGATGGCCCACTCGGTCCACATGGCCCAGCAGGTCCTAAAGGAGACAGAGTAAGTACACATTATTCAGATGTTTCTCCTTATGAAGCGAACATCATGGCAAAATGTTGTTCTAAAACTAATGACACACACAAATGTTACTGAGCAGAATAGTACCTCCTGAGTTTAAGGGTCAGACTTCCTAATGTAGTTTAAAGTGCATTTTTAATCTGAAAACTGTAAAAATAGCACCTACTTACTCATATGATCTACTCTCTGAGCCTATTCTGCTTAATTTAGTTATTCTAATAAGTTTTTATTGATTTTCATTCCTGTTAGCCCTGCCGCGCTCACAAAGATGAGAGGAAGGGAGCTGTATGCTAGTCCTTGTGCAGCAGCAGGAGAATTGTTTACTGTGTTTCAATCAGTTACAACAAGTCAAAGATATTGACAATGTGCATCGCTGAGGGTATGATCTAAAACAGAGGTCTCCAATCTGTGGGGCACACCCCCCGTTGAGGGGCACAGAGGAACATTCGGGGAGTGGGAGTGACTGCTCAAAATAAAGAAGGACAAATCGAGAGTCATCCTAATAGTTGCAACCTGGCCCAGACAAACATGGTTTCCTTATCTGATGCACCTGGCCGTTTGCTCACCAATCACTGTCCCTGGCCTTCTGTCTGGATAGGATTAAACCCTTCAGAAAGACCCCCAAATTGATTGTCTTGCTCGCAGATAGATTGAAAGGGTCTGCAGTCTCTAATCAAAGACTTTCTAAGTGAATATCTGACTGCATTAATTCTTGCTACGAATCTTGTAATATTCAAGCACCTTTGGACATACATACATACTCACTCTACGAGGTCCATTTCCACCTCTACGGCACTTCTCAAAAATGTACCCATTATTGGAATATGTAAGGCCACTACTTCGGCTTCTATACATACACTCGCTGAATGCTAGGAAATAACTCACGACTCCGCTTCTGATACTGTGTTCGGCTTGGCTATACTTTCTTCCATACTGGACTCAACGCTGAAACCCCCTCCACCTTAGCAGGAATTGCTCGGTAGTCACCTAGTGTGGAGCACCTGTAGGGACACTACTTGAAGAAGAATTTGTTACTCACCCTGTGCAGTAACTGTAGTTCTTCAAGATGTGTGTCCCTATGGGTGCTTCACAACCTGCCTTCCTTCCCCGTTGCTTTGGAGTTCTCTGTTATAAGTCTTCACAGTAGAGAAGGAACTGAGGGTGGTTTGCCCATGCAGTATAAAGCAATGGCACGGGCCAGACGGACGCTGCTATGAGAAATCTCTAGCGCACCTAAAATGGAGCACCCCTGCGGAGAGACATCTCAAAGAACTACAGTTACTGCACGGGATGAGTGACCATTTCTTCTTGCCGTACTACATCACTGACCGCATTACAAACAATAACTACCGATAAGAAGTCTGGAATTGGAACAAAACAAATTCAGTATTCATATAAGGAGTTACTTGTCATTTCACCCACTTGGGTTTTTTTAGACATTTTATATATATCAACATTTTATCTGTGAATCTCTGCAGCCACAGGAGCTGTATGAAAGGGGGGGGTTGGAGTGAAATTTTCAAATAATGCTGACCACACATTCATCTCCTTAGGTTGTAGGAGCTGCTGCTGTTGTTCACTAACAAAGAGGAATCCAGGGCAATGGGTATTTTGCAATCACAGCTCAGGAAGAAACTAGTAAGACTCCTGCATTCTGAGTGTTCATAGAACAGGATTTTGGTCAGTTTCGTTGTCTTGTGTGCCTAGAATGATGGAGAAAACTGAGAAAGCAGAAGACAGTGTGATTTGATTGTGTACATGCACAATATCAAAAAACTCAGTGCTCCATATTTGACTGCTGAGTCATCCAGTTGAGGAACAGGGATTTTCACATTTCTTGTTCTTAGAGGAGCTGAGGGGTCTCCTCAAAATCTGGGAAGCATTTAATTATCACTATTTTTTAGGGTAGAAGCTAGGAACTGAGCCTGCGCCCATTGAAAATCCATAGGAAATTTCCTATCGATTTCAATCTAAATAAGATGGGGGCCTGGCGTTTTAACTATGAGCCTGTCAACCTTAATGCCACTTTAAACTTGCACAACAAAACAAAAGATGATACTTGATACTGACTAAAACCTCCTAGGAGTCGCAAACCCAGAATTATGTCTGTTTGGATTTCTAACAAACAGCTGTGGTAACACTACTTCAGACCTGCCATACTGAAGTCATTGCTATATGGCATGAATCCAATTAGCTTTAACAGCGGCTCATCCGAGACAGATCTGCATGACTTGAGGATTCATTTTTGCAAAAATATGTGGTGAGATATAAGATGTAGACATGTACTGTAGTCCAAAACAGGTACAGTAGCTAATGTTGCCACTAAGTTTGGTTTAATGGTCTTGAGGGCCATAGCTTATTTTTTGTAGGGTATTACATTACTCAAGTCTTCTTTGAAAGATACACATCTCTGTGTATTGTAAGGACATAAACATGAAGAGCCATGCATTAAGCAGCAACTAAAGTAGTTCCTCTGTTTATTAAGCTCCTTGCTGCGACACATCCTGGTCTTCTCTGGTAACTGTGGAGGACCAGGAATTCTGTAACCACTCCAGACCTTTTTTGAAAAAGAAAAGATTAAAATGTAAATTATAAACCATGTTTTTTGTTCTGTTTGTAAAGTTCCCAATACAATGGGGTCCTGGTCCATGATTAGGGCTCCTATCCACTACAGTAATATAAATAACAAATGAAACTCATAATAAATCAATTAAATGATGGAGTGTGGAAAGGAGTTTTTTTGTAAAAGGCAGGCTAGCAGAGATCCTGCCCGAATAATAATTTAATGCTGCTGGGGTATTGCTGTGGCATTTGTTATGTGTCAAGGTGCCTAAACTTTTGTAAAAATGTCTTTTTCAACTATTTAAATTGAAATAAATAATAAATGCACTGTCAGCTATTTTCGTGCGTCATTACAATTTGCACATGCACTTATTGAGCTTCTGTATGCAAAAGCAGGAGCACAAACATTTTGCCCTTGGACCTCAACCTTTACATTTCAAAATAATAGCCCATAGTATGGCTGCTGGATATCATGATACAGGATCAAATTTTGTCCATGATGACAACAAAATCTTTGGTTCAGGAACAGAAGCTAGTGTTAAGTTGGAAGGGTACACAGATGTCTCAAGGTGAAATGTTGAAGGGTCAGTTGCAAATACAAAGTAAATTGTAAATCCACATATTATGCTTATAATTTGGAAAGCTAATCTCGCTTTTTAAAAGACACTGTAGTTGAGTGCAGATTTAGGACTCCTTAAGTGTTTCAGGGATCAAGGAAAAATCAAATGAAAATATATTAGTTCCTTAACTATATGGATTCATTTTTGTATACGCAGAATTTTGGGCAGCGATGGATTCACTTGATCTAATAACATTTACTATTCCTTGGCATGTGGCAGAAGGAACACTGTCCAGATCCGAATTTTTTCAAGTTTAACTATTTCACTAGAATCTCAAACACTGAATACTCCTATTTAGAGGGAGGCAGTGTGGTCTAAAGAACTGGTTCAGGGGACTCTGAGACAGGAAACCTTATTCACTGCATGACCTTGGTCAAGTCATTTAACTTCTCTTGGCCCAATTCAATTCTGGTATAAGAGAATACAACTCCTATTGACTCCAGTCAGAGTTGCACCTATTTAATTCAGAGCTGAATTTGATGCTCTTTGTCTCAGTTCCTCCTTCTGTAAAACTGGGATGGTGATAATTGCCTAACTACCTTACATGGTTATTGTGAGAATAGTGCTTTAAAAATGTAAGATGTTTTATAAGCATTGCAAATGATTATTATCTGTTACATGGGAATGTAATACTCTCAGATGACCATGGGCAGCATTTCAGAATGATACTTTGTGCACAATGCTATATTTGTATGTAATGCTTCTTTTTGTAAAAGAGATATGACAATGAATTAAAATTTGTAAAACACTTTGATATTTGGTGTGAAAGGTGCTCCATACATTCAAATTTTTATTAGTCCACTGAAAATATCAGCATTTCCATTTCACCGGGAACTGCAGGAGTTTTTACTACAGCCATCTCTGCTTATATTTTCATGATTTTTCTAACCAAAAAATGGAGTTGATTGTTTAATAATAGGTATAAAGGCTGGCTGAAAGACCTAACAACATCTAATTTACATTGTCTGTTTGCCAGTAAAACTCTATTTTCCCTCTAGACAATCAAACATCTTGGAGTATTTGTATTTTGTATATTCCCTATGGCTAATCATCCAATAGCTAATGTAAATGTCAGCGATAATGTTGTCAGACAAGACTGCTTCTCCAGTCTCTTATTAGTTTAAAAGGTTTTGAAAGATTCACACTTAATGAAATAGGAATTCCAAGGGATTCTCACCTGTGTGGCAAAGTTTTGTTTCTGAACTCAGCTCTTTTCAGGACCTCAAACAAGTGGCTTGCCTAAAAGTTCTGTCACTACATACATTCAAAATACGTTAGTGTTTCTGACAACACATTTATTTATTTAAAACTCTTCTCAGTGGGGTGGCCTCATGAGATCTTCATCTAGTTTGTGTGCAGGTTCTAGGGAGAAACCAAATATAGTGTTGTTCCTGCAAATACAGTACTTCAGCACAACACAGACAATGTAATTCAGGACACTGGATCTAAAATGGCAGGAAACAACACTGAAGAATGACAAATTGTTATATTTGCACTGGCAAGATTCTGAAAATAAAAGATTAACAGTTTCTTAAAACTAGACTGTGAATATCTGTTTCTCTGAAGCAAGTATTTATTTCAGTGTTCGGGGCAGCAATCCCAAAAGTCTTCCCCCCACCCTTAATTCATCCTAATCCATAGCCACTGATGGCATGAGCCATGTTCCAAACACCTTTCCACAGGTGCTTCACATTGGAGGTAGAAAATCTGTAGGATACATATCCAGTCCGATCCTTGTGTATAATAGATGGGATGACTTCCCTGAACTGATTTTCCAAACCCTTTGCCAGTATTTTTATGTCTACCATATGTTTAACAATGATACTGGCCTATTTTGAGAGGACTACATATGGTCTAGATCAAAAGGACATTAACTAGTCTTGATGTATCTCAAATATGGATCAGAGAACTTTGTAGCAGTTATATAAGTAGGTTAGCAAATCTCTTAGCTTCTTCTGGCAGAAAATGCTGAGGCCCCAGGGGATTAATTTTGTACATCAGCTGTTGCTTCTAGCATCTCTTGTTGTTTTACAAGGGTATCTAGTCTCGCTGCCTGGTCAGAAACAGTTGGGAGATTAACAGAATCAAGAAAGACCTTAATCGGACACTTAATCTCATCCAGACTGAGGCACATATAAGGAGCTATAATCTTCATCAAAAATGTAAAATATCTAAACTTGATCATATGTCAGTCCCCCAATGCATCCCTTGTTGCTGGGATTATTAAACAAGAGATTCTTTCAGCTAATTTTTTTTTTCTGGAGCCTCCTTGCTATTGTTGCCCAAGCAATATAATTTACACCTAAGTGGTACATTCTCAGAGCAGTGTACAGGGATTTATCCATGACTCACAAAGATAACACACACATCTAAATCTCCAGTCTGTGCTTTTAAAATGTACCCTTTCTAGTAATAATGGATAATTAATCATCTAGATTTTTAGAGTACGTTTCACCAAGAGGCAGGCACTTCATCTACCACTGAACTGTGGCAATGTCTGTGATGGAACATGGTGTCTTTCCATGCCAGGAACATTACACAAAAGCTTTGTTTGTATTAAGAAAAAGAAGTGAAGAAGATATCCAAGCAATACTGCAGGGGGAACCTAGTCAAACAAGCAGCCTTGAAAACCATATGTGACCAGGACCTCTCTTTTTTGTCTCATGCAAAACACAACATCTTCAGCAGCACAGTCCCACCAAAAGGCTATGCTGGAGTGTTGGTTCAGTGCTTAGTGAGAGGGAAGAATACCATGGAAAGCAAACCTTTCATTATTTACTGCAGCAGGTTTGATGTTTCTTGGAGTCTCCCATCTTGTTGCTCACCAGGCATATCTGTGTTTAGCATACACGATTTAACAAGATCACCACCAGAGGTCCTGCAGCAGCCTTGATGCAGAGCCACGTGTCAGCTAATTTGAAACGTGTTTTTTTTTCCTGTCAGTCACCTTGAAAAACACTAAGGCCAGGACTGATTCCAACCTTACATTTGTTTTCTAGAGATTTCATTTCATTCTGGAAATGTTTCCTCTCTATTGGCTTGTAAAAAGTTATGTGCATAGTTGCTCTAATAGCATCCCTCTTTGGAAACTCTTTATTCTTCCACTGACTTCAGTGTGGAGTGGGATCGTACTCTCAGTGAAAATCATTTATATTTGTCTCACCGCGGGTTAGAATTTTTATTTAATATATCTGAGCAGCTAAATATATGGCTCTACTAATGGTATGGTCTTCATGATATTACTGTTAATAATATTGCCTGTTACACACAAGCCCTGATTGACAGTAATTTTGTGGTGCATCATAGCAAATCTCAGCTGTTCAGCCAGAGCGGGATGCAAGGTGCTGAGCACCCACAGCTTTCATTACAGTATAGGGCTCCTCCTGAAGGCCCAGTGCTCCAGCTGTTACGAGCTGTAGCACTGGCTGGAAGTTAATAACACTGGATGTTTAGCAACTACATACATTTTTGGTACTAAACAAACTACACAAAATAGTATTAATACATGATAATGTTTACCTTTATCACAGTTGTCATTTATCATACTGTACTGGCTTATCTTGAGTCACCCAGAAAGAGATACAATCAGTGTGTCTGGACATAGGAATATACAGCCCTGTTGTCGTCATTTAACTATTTACTGAAAATCAGATTTGCAGACATTATCCAGCCAAAGGATTAGAGATTAATAGGCTTCCACTTTTTCAGAAAGAGGGATTATTTTAACATGAAGAGACTGTTTTGTGATTAAACCAGATGTGTATTTTTAATCTTTTTTTCTAGGGTGAAAAGGGAGCTGTTGGTGACCCTGGATCCAGAGGACCATATGGTTTGCCTGTAAGTTGCATGGAACTTGTACACATTGCAACTTTCACCACGCCTTGATTAAACTTTGCTGTGTTTTATTACCATTTTCCATCCAGCAGTGTAATTAGTTGAGAGCGGTGAGGGCAGATGATAATCCCTGACAATGCAAAGTCACTGATCTTGAAGCAGGCCCATATCACAAACTTACACCGATTCCTACACATACATACAACTATGCAAACGTAACAGAATGGAGCTAACAAACCAACAAGAATGAGGAAATCTAGAGTTAAAGTGCCCCTTATTCTGCAACTCCTGCCATTTTGATTATGTGTGGTCGATACATGTTATTAGATGCCTTGAGACCACCAAAATAGACTGGCAAAGAGCTCAGGACAGAGTGTAGCCACGGAAGTTTTTTGTGATTTTCTTAATGTCTTATTCAGATTTCTTTGATGCAACAATATTTTGCTGTTACTATTTTTTGTGTTGTTTGCATGTGGAAGATTTTGGCTTGCTTTGATTTTTTTGCATTTCTGTGTGTTTGGGATGGGAGAACTTTAAAAGGTTCATAGTTTGGGTTTGGTTTGGATAAATATGTAGAAGGTCAGATGATTACCCAAAGCTTATCCAAACCTCTCAAGTTTGCAAATTTGGCCTACAAGTCTAACTGACTTTCTGATAGTATTTTGGCACTTGTTTCCTGATCAGAAACCAGAAGTGATAAAAGTTTTAGCTGAATATACCAGAGCAGGCAACTTCAAGGCAGGGTTGGCCTGGGGAGGGGATCCTGTTTTCTATAAGTTAGTTAACTAGTTTACCCATCCCTAACATATGTAGACCAGGGCTTCAGTTAATGTAACTCAGCAGAGCTCCACTGAAGTCAATTGAACTACCCCAGTTTACCCCAGCTGAGGATTAGCTCAGTGGGTGTGCACATGTATGTCTACTGTGTGCACTGACACAACAGCTGTTGTGTGTTACAAACACAGATCTATTCCAGCCTTAGTAAGATCACAGTGGTTCCACTGCAATTATATTGGGTCATTATTTACAAAGGCAGTTTTATACATCTCCTCTCCAGTTTCATTTGTTTGGGCTGGATTCTCTCAAGTTGGAATAGGGAGTTGTAATTTACATCATCCTGCGCTAGAGAGTCTCCCAGTATTAGAGCAGGTGGTGCTGTTGCTGCCATATTCGTTTGACAGTCTGCCACAGAAAGGCAGTTTTATTTTCATCTGGAAGTTCCATAGGAGCCCTTGTGAGAGGTTGCTGAGGGAATGTGCTAAGACAGTGCACCCCCTCACCATGCCCCTTTCCTACTGTTGGCTACTGTTGCCCCTTTGAGAGGTGAGTTGGATTCTGATAGTTTCCTCAACACCAGCGAGGGTTAACTACCTTTTACCACCACAATCTCTCCACCGGTATTGGACTTTCTCCCTCTGGGGCTGTGAGCAGGCCAGGTAAACCTGGGCCAAATCTGACCCATATTTATGCTTACAAAAGATGAAGGAACACAGAGTACAAAACCAGCAATCAAGTGCATCCCAGGCCCACAGTATTTAGTCCAGCAAAACTCCCAAGATACAGGGCCAGATTCTCCACTGACTTGCCCATTGTGTAGTGATTCACACCTGTGCAAAGTGAGTAGAAACCAGGATTCTCTACTCATTTGCAACAGTGCTAGCATTTAACACTCACTTTATACCAGCATAAAAGATAGGTAAAGTTCAAGACAGTGGAGAATAAGGCCCCAAAAGTGTAAGTGTTGCAGAATTGGGCCACCGGACTAGATCATTTAAAAATTTCTGCCCTCCCTTTTTTTTATGTCCACAGTTTGCAGATGCAATTAGTGTCACTTGGATGTCTAATAGCACCCGCACATCAGGTATTAGACATCAAAGTGACATCTCACACAGTTATGTGTACCCACAAAACTGCAGGCACAAAAAGGGATGCCAGAATGGGGCTGATCTGAAAGTTAGACCTATCATGTATTCTTTTTCTGGGTGTTGTAATCACAGGGCTACACCTTACTCAGAGCTCAACTGCCTCCAGCCCTCTGTAGAAGCCTCCCCATCACCAGGCTTTGTGCAGGCCCAGACATGATCAGATTTCTTGAGCACAGAGATCACAAGGAGTCTGCAAGGCTAGCACTCATAGCAGCATTATCTTTCCCGAAAAGAGAGTGAGGGGCTGTGGGTCTGTCTTCTCAGCCCAGGAAGTCTGGTCCAGACCCTTTTCTCTGGTTTTTAGGTTTATTTCTTCCACATAAAACTAGTATAGCACATATATCAATTATCCCTTCCCCCTAACCCAGGATCTTCTCCAGGAGCCTATCTATTTCTGCTCTATAAATCACTTGCCTGACAGTCATACATCACTCTAGGGCCTCCCACAGGAATCAACCTACTTCCTATAAACAAAATAAGGAGTCCTTGTGGCACCTTAGAGACTAACACATTTATTTGGGCATAAGATTTTGTGGGCTAGAACCCACTTCATCAGACGTTCTAGCCCATGAAAGCTTATGCCCAAATAAATGTGTTAGTCTCTAAGGTGCCACAAGGACTTCTCATTTTTGGTTTTGTTTTGTTTTTTGCTGATACAGACTAACACGGCTACTACTGAAACCTGCTTCCTATAGTTCTCCCACCGTGACCAAGGGGCTACCTGCTAGAGCTTCCCTATTCCTAGGAGCTGTCTACCCCCAACTGAACCACTTGCTGGCTTTTATAATTACCTGATCCCTAGCTGATCAGTCTCAGCTGGAAGATAGCTGGTCCATCACAGGTGAGGCTGGGCCCAATTCCCCTTAAAGAGCCAGCCACTCTGTGACAGAACCTAAACCCATTTTCCCTGTGTATCAGCTAGCACAGCTGTCCCCGCTAGAGGGAAGATGTCACAGCAGCTTTATTTTGCATTCACTCTCTACTGCTCTGAGGCCTTGTTGCCTGAGCCAGATATCCCAGTGCTGTTTTGTCTGAGCCTTGGAGAAATTAAATAATTTACATTGAAAAGGAAGTGTATAAAACCATGCCTTTTGGATCAGTGACCCAGCAGTGCAATCAGTGTGGCTGCCCTACTGAAAGTGGAACAGATCACTAGCGACATTGTGTCAGGATGAGGCTTATCTCTGAATCTATGCATGCTGTGGGTCTTATCCGCTGAGGAGCTGAGCACCCTCAACTCCCATTGAAGTCAATGCACCTAATCCTGTTCTGACAAGTCAATGGTAAAACTTCCATAGACTTCGCCTGGAGCAGGAGAAGGCCAATGGGTAGTGCGGGCTTTCAGCTCCATCTGTGTACTAAACATCTCTGTGAAATACCGGATGAATATTAGTTTGCAGTGTATGATTATTTGCTGGCCACTTACAGAAGTAAAAATCTTCACCTTTTCCTGCCCTTTTTGTGAATTGAAACTGGTGAGATCCTAGTGATTGCATTATTTTAACTTGCTCCTGGAGCTTGTGCAATAAGCTTCAATCTACAGCAAAATTTTACAGTCAAGTTATCAGTTCCTGGAAACGGGAAATGTTAAACACTGACAGAAAGACCCTTCACTAATGGCAATTCTATTTGTGTAACCCTAGAAATGTGTGTTGCTGCTGTACAAAAAGAATGCTATTGCTCTCCTGTAGGCAGAAGGCAGGTGCTTGCATATCAAGACAGCCTTCAAGATAGGTGGGATTAGCAGATAAGACATCACATAGTCATGAGGCTTAGGGATGCTAACATAGTTTATATGGTTCTTTGGCAGGGCAAAGATGGCGAGCCTGGCCTTGATGTAAGTAATATTTATGACCAGTTTACTCATAATGGTAGGTAAATGATTCCTTCACTGGGTGCAGCACATTTATTTCCCATTTTCTGTGTATGCTGAACATGCAGAGAACATACTAAACATTGCATTGCTGTTGTTCGCATATGATAAAGAGAGGTGAGAGGGACAGACTGAACAATGGTATTTTGAGAAAGTACAGCCCAACCCTGAAAAGCCCACAAGGCACAGTGCTTACTACCCAAAGGAGTCCCATTGACCTGCGTGGTCACAGTAGTAACTACTACACCTGGTAAGAAGAGTTTGCAGGATCAGACTCTAACTAGTGCCCCTCCCTAGGAGCAGAACAAGGAGCCACCAACATTTGGTTAAGTAACTTCATCCCTATTAAAAAAAATAATCCCGCACTCTACACATGACACATTTTTCACAATTTAGGATTTCTTATGGCATGCGGGTGAGAGCCTGTTGTGATCCCATTCCCACCTTCCCTACTCTTATCCCATTCCCACCTTCCCTACTCTT